GTAATTAGAGAAAAAGACATAAATGATTCAGGGCACTGAGAATCATCCTCATTAGAACAGGGTGGAGGAGAAACAGTGCTATTAACAGTATCAAATAATAACCTGGGATAATTGTTATTACAATTTTTCAGATTATTTAAATTTGATTTTTCAAAATATTCACAGTGCACAACCAAACCCACTGTCATCCACAATCATTATTAATTTAAATATTATTAGTTTCGACAGGAATGATGAAGAGCACAAGTTTGATTATTTAACCAGTGAGCAAGAAACAACAGTGTTGGCTTTGTAGAGAGTGACCTGAGCATTCTTGTGTGGTCTTGACCTTGTAATACAAAGCTCCTTGAAGCAATGCTTGTTGTGATTTGGTGCTATATATATAAATACAGTTGATTTGAATTGAGGCAAAGGAGTTCAACATTCAATTCAGTTTTATTTATATGACAAATCCCAGCAAAATTCACCGTAAGGTGCTTTATATTGTAAGGTAAAGACTCTGTTGGCATTTTCCTCTGGATTATTTCAATCACGTGATCCCCTTTGAGCAAGCGTTTGGTGACAGTGGGAAGGAAAAAGTCCCTTTTTAACAGGAAGAAGCTTTGGCAGAACCAGGGTCAGGCAGGTATGGCCATCTACCGCAACCAGTTTCAGGTTGTGATTATCATGAGAAGTTGAGAAATTAGTCTGTGTCTGTGTGGGTTCTCTTTCATCCAGGTCAAGGTAGTTAAAAAAAAAAAAAAGGTGGATTCCAAATTAAAATACCGTACAAGGGTTACGTTTGTGTACTTTTAATCGCAGCCATCTCAAAGTACATGTAACAGCTTGAGGAGATCATGTGACATAAAAATCCCTTTTTAAAAATATCAGCAGTTGTGCCTTGTTGGCCAGAAATCCTAGGTGCACGTAAAAATAAACACTCTATATGAGATAAACAAGGCAGAAAAAGTAAAGAAATTTGTTTGGTTGATTATTTCTTTTTTGTAACAATTCTTCTACCATTGGAAAGTCTATTTATGTGTAAGGAAATGTATTTGTATTTGTGAAGGTTCTCAGTCATCCAAGTCATGGTAATCTAAGGAACTTGGGAAGAAAAGCGACCGGACTTCTTTAACTTTTGTCTTTAAGAAGCTGAAAGAAGTCCGGTTGCTTTTCTTTCCAAGCTCCTTAGATCATTTGTGGCTTGAGCAGTAGAGTTCAGTATGTGGGTTGCACCCATGGAAAACCTACCAAATCTTCTCTGCCAATGCCAAACAGCTTATTCTGCTATTGACCCTTTGGTGTCGTTTGTTGGATTGGATGATTGAAGTCTGAAGAAACAGGAAATATTTGGCAATTTAACAATTTATTGATTTAGTTTGATTCTTTCATTTGATTTGATTTTTTTCACGAGTGCAACCCACACACAATTTAAAGGGATATAAACCGGCATTCCAACGGTTTAACATTTTTACAACAAAGAAATAATCGACCAAACATAAATGTCAGAATATTTTGGGCATTAATTGCCATCACTTTAGTGGAGATACAGAAGGGTCTGATGTTGTGTCCCAAAGTAATTGTCTGCCAAAAAGTGATTGGTGATGTTTCTGTATGGTTTATAAATGCCTAATATATTTGCTTATACTGGTAAATGGCCTGTAGACAACAAATTTTCCAAAGGAATTATATGTTAAATAGAGTATCTTTATGACGCCCGGTTAT